TATATATAGTATAATTTTCCTCAATAGTTATTAATATATTTTAGCTTTTGCTTTTTGTGCATGCGTAGTTTAACTTAATCAACTTGTGTAGTATATTTTTTATTCAAGCTTATTTTGATTCTTTTATTAGTTTAATCCTAGGTCCTTTTGAAAATCATTCTTATGAAACTAAAAGTTTTCAAACCATGTTGCATGTTGAAAATTTTAGCTCAATCCTTCATTAAATTTTTCCTTTTAGAAAAAGTAGAGTCCAGGTGATGTCATATTGATATAGTTCATGATTTAGATAACGAAGCAAATATTGATTTAATGTTTCCGTCTTTTAACTATRTTTATTTGTATAACAAAGATTGGAATATTAAATTTTGATATTAAAAACTATTGCRAAGTTACTTGATGACAATCAAACAAAGACTGACATCGAACAGCTGCAGAAAAGCTCAATACATAGGCGAAGAAATTAAAAATGGAATAGATATTTCATTTTTACTCAACTATATTGCTTGTCCTTCTTCTTCTTCTTCTTCTTCTTCTTCTTCTTCTTCTTCTCGAATTCCCTGGCTTCTGATCATTAGCGTAATGATATCAAAATAATATTACTTTTATACCTTGGGCTCCACTGATTCGGATTTCGCTGCGGGAATCCTCCTCGCCACTTTAACACAAAACAATTTACGCTTGCGTAAAAATAAATCTCTGGATCCCGGATATACTCCCCATAAGCTCAATCATTGAATATGCTATTTTTCCTTATGTTGTTGAATAAATTGAATTTGACAAAGACAATTTGAAACTGCCTCCGTCGTTGCCAAACTGCCTATGATTAAAGTGTTTTTATATTGCAATTAAATGTGAATTTTGGATTAAATATGAAAGGAGTAAAAAAGAATCTTGATACTGGCTATCGATTTGACTGAAATAGTCATGTTCTGTATAAATGAGAACGAAAGTTGGCGTCCCTATGTCTTTACGTGTGTATGTTCATCATRATAGCTTAATTTTAAGGTTGCTACTAAATCACTCATACAGACTGGGAGAGCCAGTAAAAAGTATAAAAGGTTTCTTTATCGGCTTTTTATTAGAGAAGAACTCTTCATATTTGTTTTCCTATAAATATACAGCAATTGAAAACTCGTATCCAATGATAGCTGATCTCTAGGGCTTTCAGTATCTGGTTTAGTAGCTTTTATGCGAGACGAGACTCGTCAATTAATATTCGAAACTCTTGTATCAAGGCAAAATGCATCAGCCCTACTAATAGGGTGAACACGATGTCTTCTGGGACATCTGCAGAAGCTTRTCTTCAATTCTTTCCTAAACTCAGGCAGTCTAAATGAATACACAACCAAGTTCAGGAATGAGTTACTCAGCTGTGCTACCAAAGCTAACTTTAAACAAATGTCAGGAATGTCTCTTTTGCATCGATAGTCACAAAAATAGAAGTAACACTGAACTATTGCGAAAGGAAACCAAGCCATAACAGAAACAACAGTGGTAAGGAAAAGCGTTTTTGACAACTTGAACTGATACTGCCTGGTTCTACTTTGCTCTAGGGCAGGAAAGAATTTCATTTTGATGTAGATAGACACGTAGGATGCTGTAAGGATAAGAAGAAGAAAGACGATCACGCTGAAGTACATAGCGTCTTTGAATTTCTTAATGTGAACAAGATTACCAACAATCGTAAGTATAGCGAAAGTAACCCAAGACAATCCAATTGCAACGAAATAATGTCGATTAGTGGCCACACGATGGCGGAAGGGCATAAGAACAGCCACAGCTCTTTCAATGGAAATGACAGCCAAAGAGGACAATGAAGCCAATGGAATCAAAAACAAAAGTCGACTAAGAGTAAGAAATATACGATCTTGACCTCCACCATGAAGGACTGTTCTTACAAACCAAATCACAGTTGATGATAACCCAACAACTAAGTCAGCGAATGTAAGATTCACCAGCAAGAAACAGGGTTTGTTGATCAGAAATTTTCGTTTTAAGAAAATCTTAAGCGCTACAACATTACCAACTAGGATGACCAAGGCTTCGAGAAGAAGGACAATGGACCAGATATACTGTTCGTGTTTAGAGGGATGTTGCATTATCGTGCTAGTTGGTTTTTACTGTTCTTTGGTTTTCGTTTCATGCAATCGTTTTGCATTTGACTTGAATGACTTTGTTGTTCTCAGCAATGCAATTCTCAGCTCTTGCAATGAAAATGTTTGTGACGTAATGTATTTTCACAGRACGGCGCATTGTTTTTTATCCCGTATGATAGAAAATACAGCCAATTAGAATACAAGAAAAACGTTCTGTTACTTGCCACCAGGTATTGTGGGCTATAGAAGAATATAAATACTGTGGGTTAAAACTAAACATATAAATGTTACGTCGCAGAACAAGGAAGAACTACAGATATCGATACGTAGCGCATACCTGAATAATTAATCGTATGCAGATGCATGTATCAGACAGATAGAGAGATAGGATAGACCACAGACATGAGATTGTATAAAGATGGAACCGAAGACGGTCTGACATTAAACCGTTGTGTTTACATGATATGGTATTGAGATTTGATTGACCGACATTAACATATAAGCTTTGCAATTGTATTTTCTTGCATAAATAGAAAAACAATTGTCTAGAGCTCGTACGACATGCAGGCGGAATGAAAAACGACTGACCTTTCCTCGTGGACCTCCCTAACCTAGTTAACAAACGTAAACGCAACGTTTGAAAAACTTTTGATGTGCATGTTTTTCTTCATCTTGTTTGTTTTGTATGTGACTTCAAAAATAGGATCAAGCCTAGAGACGTTGAGTCTCCCTTCACCTTTACTGCTAGAAGATTATAACCTTTAGGTCCGCAGATTTCAAACACTATAAAACACTATAAAACGATGACCTTTCTTGAAATAACCAAAGTATATATTTGATCAATCAGAGCAGCGGTAACCTCCCGCGACATCTCTGTCAACAATGGCAGCCCTAACGCAAGATTTTAGTTCATTACACAAAATAAAGCTAATTTCTTATTCCTCATTTTAGCTAGCTATGCCATTTTCGATCTAGATATCTTAGAGTAAAATATGAAACATCAAAGAGTAAAGTATTATTGCTAAGTAGGATATTTGTATTACAAAGACTTAGACCCTTTTTTCTTTTATTAGTCCAGCAAGACCTCTAACAAGGAATTGTGATTTTTCTCATTTTACACCCTTAAGGTGATATTTATGGTGATACAGACAGCCGCCCTTAAAAATACACAGCTGTTTTAAGTGGGAAAAGAAAAATTGCAACGGTTAAAGTTATTGGTAAAAGTTCTGTTCGTATGGAACCGGCTAATAGAAAAGTCACTGCCGTTTTGAAGAATTTACAATTTGCATATTTGAATTGTGCAATGTTGAAAAAATGGAGCTAAGTGATGTCGTGCTGGAGCTTATACCTCCAAAACGGACATCTGTTTTTTGGAGATGGGTTTGGTCGATTGACTATTAGTATCGCCAGTGGATAAAGCTTTGGACAAAACTTCACTGCAGCTATATGCAGCTGTGAGATTGAAGGGCCGGAATTTTAATGAGCAACAGATTGCTCGTTTCTGTGACCAGAAATTGCCATAATGTGACGATTGGGGACTCCGGCATTTGACCATAGAGAGTGATTGCGGTGGGTCTCACACTGTGATTCGTGTAAATCTTGGACAAAGCAGGTTCTTTACTGATATTCTTCATCATACAGGCAAAGCTATTTACACCAATTGGTCTCGCGTCGTACCATGTTTCGTCGTGTTCTTCCCATGACTTTGTAGGATATTGACAGAAAGCAGTACACTTTGGGTTGAATTTGGACAAATAGATCTTCAGAGCTTTGTAGCCGTCATGTTGGTGGTCTGTTTCGTACATCCTTGCTTCCACCTGGATGATTCTTTGAGATTTCATGATGTGCCATATATGGTCACTTAGTTTCGTCCAGTTGCATCACTCTCAAACTTGAAACTTGATGTTGTGAGTGCTCTTTGACCTTCACGACCTTGTCGGCTGAAATACAGGACGATGTGAAAACAAACATTTCTGAACGGCGACAAGGGACTCGACAACAAGAAGACTGCGCTGGATTTGAGGCTTTGCAAATCACCTTCCTTTGTGAATGGACTTTTCTTTGCTATTTCGTCTTAAGTCGATAAGTTTACGCCGGTTCAGCTGGCTCAAAAAAAGGGTCATTTAGATAAAACGTTTTCAATATCTAACTGATCAAAATCAAACTTCACAGCAAGGTACATTTGTAAATTCCTAACAATCGTATGTTTTTGATTTTGCAATTTCGGTATTTTTGGCGGGAAAATGACGTCATTCAATAACGATCAAAAATTTGGTTTCTTTTTTTAAAAAGTATTTATATATAGCATCTGGTTTGAACGTCTAAACTTCGGATCTGTTGTCAGCTTAACACCTTTTTGGAGAGGGGGAGCATTTAGATATCTCTCGATGGCATGACGGAATCCAAGTAAAGTGGGTTTACTATATTCTTTTTGTTGTGTTGTTCTCGCTTCCAAGTAAAAACGCCTTAGATTTTAATCTAGTTGACCCAGAGACATTGCCTCTAGTCAGAGGAGGGTGATCAAGTCGCGTGGAGCATTGTGGGTTAAAAGTTTCATTACGCTTCTTTTGCATTTGACCGTCGTTGTGTGAACATCTCCTGGCGAGAAAGTATTATGAATGTCAAATATGTCTCACCGGTGTGGTGTGGATTTTCTTGCAGTTGGTAATTTCCTATATCTACACTGTGTAGACTCTCAATTTCTACATACTTGTACGGTAAAGTCTCCGCCATTTATGTCGATAAAACTAGTGGGGGCCAAGTTAGCTTCATTGGCAACCTTCCCGAACGACTGAGGATTGTTTTGGTTCCTCACTGCCAAAAAATCCGATAACTAAATGAGAAAAGATGGCCTTTGACCACAAGGGCTGTTACTTGCTTTAAAATAGTGCTAAGTGGTGGATATTTGATTTGATAACTTTAATAATAATAATAATAATAATAATAATAATAATAATAATAATAAACTCTTTATTTACCAAGGGTAACAATAAATAGCAATATGCTGACAAACCTGTGGCCCTTTATACAAGCGCGATTGATTGAGCTAGAACATCGAGCGTCCAAACAAACGATCGGCTTGAAATCACATACCCGGCGACTAAGATGACAAACCTTGAACCGATTTTTCTCTTCAAAAATATCTCCTAAAACCATTCATTTCATTACATACATTCATTTTTAATTCATTTCTTGTCAAGCTTAGGTTCTTATCATTGAAACTTTTTGTTTGGAATAATTATAAAGCGTTCTTATTGTTTCAGGGTCAATATGGAAGTCTAAAGTCTATATGATAAATTGATATAAACTTTGCATTGTAAATTTAATAGTTTAGTTTCTATTATACTTATATTCCGCGAACATGACAGTATTTTTTCCCTTATTATATATTTCAACTGTCTCAAACAGGAAAGTTTTGATTATTGAAAATGCACATGTAGAAAGTAACAGCACACAAAGTAGCATAAACAACGGTCGACTTGTGAGCCGGGGTCGATGACAAGTCTCAGATTCTGACAATTCTCAGTATTCTGCCGATAAATTATCCCATTGAATCAATAAAAAATCAATGAAATAAAACAATAACAAAATTGCGATTTCATTTCTTATCTGAAACGATTTGGTGACGTGTTTTCATGTGAAAGGAAGTAGCGTTACGCGGATGATTCCCGCCATCTTGACAAGATATGCTTGATAGGTAACATAGTACCATGCACAACATTCAGAATGACTCGAAAACGGTTAAGAGGTTCACCGGGGTTCACCTCGATATTTTTGATTATTAGGAATTAAAGCTTCATAATATTTATAAATACAGACATGTTATCCATCGTAAAACCAGATGACAAGCGATAAAGATGCACGATATTTCAACCTTCAGTGTCAGCGTGTGAAAGCGATGGCGATCTTAATGTCATAAGTTTACATAGAAATATGTCTTATCAGGGACCGAGACTTGGTGTACAGGAACCACTGCTATTAATCCATGCGACAGTTAAAAGCTATGAGGTTATGATAAGTAATATGAGGGGAAAGTAATGATTCTTTACGACGACTATGAAATTCTTGTGATATTTTTTGTTGCCTGTGATCATGATTGTGATTGGTCGATTAAGTTACGTGCCACTTGATCACCCTCCTCTGGCCTCTAGTTGAGTTTTGATTTGCTTTTCTCGGCACCAAGTTGAAACTTAAAATGTATGCGTAACCTCTAGTTTTATTCACTTAACAGTTTCTACACTCCAATTACTCGGATCCGTAGGACATGGCAGGTTCACAGATTTGTTCCTATATATATATTTGACTTAGTTTAAAACGCTTTCTACCACCGCTTGATCCAAGATCCCCAACTGCCCCCAACGCGCACATGGCTCTGTTCTTAAGTATGCCGCACCCTCTCCCTTGAGACCTACACGGGCTTATAAACCCATTACAATACCTTCCGCTTCCCGGGAGCGCTGTTACATATGTATATTAATTACTCACTGATAAATGATTCAAAATAAATACGAGAATACGATATGATTGTGTTGCATTTTATTTATCGGTCATGATATGAAAAATTTTGAACATGTATCATACTTTTGAATGTCGAGACTGACCAGTTTGTTGTCTCTTTTGTTTTCCTGGAGTGCTTTTCAGACAAAAGGTTATTTAAGTATTCTTCTCTAGTTATAAGAGCCTATTTTTTACTTTTTTTTTTTTATCCAGTGGCGGATCCAGGATTTTTCAAAGGGGGTTCCGTTTCTTAAACTGTGTATAATTCTCTTTTGTTTAGTCGATTTTTGACAAAAAAAATGGCTCTAATCACCTAATTTACTATCTAGTAACGGACCAAGCTATAATAACGCGACCCAACGCAAAACTACTAATATTTTTTTAATTAAAATTTATATAAGACATATTTTTATTACCTAAAAGATCAAACCTTCAAGCGGGGTTCCGTGGACCCCTTCGACCCCCCCCCTGGATCCGCCCCCCCCTGAGGGGTTTAATGACATAATCCATTATAATCAAAAGTCATTAACCAGATCATTTAATGGATTGTAGTATCAAGCTATAGACAACCACTCTCAATACCATTATCTATAACTGTTATGAAGCCGTTTCGATGGTTTTCTATATCGGTGTCACACCGTTTTGTAGGTACCACGAGGTGATCAGCGACGCATATGATGATTCTGCTCTCTCATGCTTCTAGGGCAGAAAGGCGTTTCGAGAGAGTAATGATTGTTTCTAAATTTGTTTGCTCTTACTACAGTATATGGAACCACGATTCTTATTAAGAAAATGCAAATCGTCTTTCATACCCAACATTCTTTTTCGAAAATCAAATCATTTTAACTAAGATGTGTTTTAATTCTGTTTTATTTCCGATTGAAAATCAGAAATTTGTGGTTAGGAAAAAGCATGGTAGTAGTACATTTGACATTACGAAATGGCGCCCTCTATTGCTTCTATTCAAAAATAATAACAATAATATATTACTTCACTTAACTGAAATGATTAAATGGCTACTATATGCAGACGATGTTGCAATTTTCTCAAAGGATCTTTCTAACTTACAGGATATTTTGGATATTGTACACACAACTTGTTCTAGATATGGTCTACAGATTAGCTTCAAGAAAACAAAAACACAAGTTTTCAATGACTTAGAACTCATAAACAAAGGAAGTATACTGAACATTTCTGGAAACGATATTGAGAATGTTAAGGAATTTAAATATCTGGGACATATGTTTTACAGCGACCCTAAAGATTCTTTTGTTGGCAACAGAATTATCAGTGCAACTGGTAAATTTCACGATCTAAAGAATGTTCTCACAGACAATAAAGTGTCCATGAAAACTAGAGGAAAATCTTAGAATCCTGTATTAGATCTAGACTTCTTTATTGCTCAGAAGCACAATTACCGAATGAGGAAGAACTGAAAAAAACTCGAAACATGCTGGTACGGCCTTCTAAAAAGGATGATGAAAAATGGGTGGAAGAGAAAAACAGATAGTGATGGTGAAGAAACTTTTGCACTCAAATACAAAAATACTGATGTTGAAAGGATTTATTGAGACTCCACCACTACGGGATTTCTTATATGTTCGATATTTAAAATATATCGCACACATATGTAGACGGCCGAACTCCAATCTTACGAAAAAACTACTTTTTATCAAACCAACCAAAAAATATGTCAGAGATCCATGGATAAAGATCGAAAAACTATTTAACATTGATAAAGATCAGGCCAGAAGATTAGCAAAAGACAGGAAAGCCTTCAAAGGACTTCTTCTTAAGAACTTTAATCTAGAATAATAGAGTCCCCGTTGCTCAGCTAATTGCTGTTAATAATGGAACAGAACTGAGACTGATACTGATACTGAATTGAAAATTGAAAAAGAAATGTTTTTCTGTGATGTTAAAATATGAAAAATTGAAAGGAAAACGTTTGTCAATGAAAAGGTCCAGTCACGACAAGTCTGCAGTGACAAGTGTTTATAAATGCAGTCCAAAATCAAAATAAATTTAACAGGGCTCAGTTGTATAAAGGGCAGATAGCTCTATTCGACGGACAAATTCTTATCCAGTGGAAATATTCATTGGTTAACAGCATCAGYTTATGTAATATTTCAAAGACGAGTGAGAGTTTTCATTAGGGTTTGCAAACACGAGAGGCCGAGTGCTTTTATTGGTTTTGAGTGTTTGGAAACCCTAATAAAACCTGAAGCACGAGTTTTTGGAATTACTTCTCTAATGAATTAGTAATGACAATAATAATAATAATAATAATAATAATAATAATAATCATGAATAATTTCATTTCACACAGAATCCAGAAAGCTAACCACTTTTTTACACTGAAGCTGTGCATAAGAAAAAAAGTACAAATATAAATTAGAAATGAAAAACTAATTAGTAATCACTAATAATGCGCAAAGAAAATTCCTAAAAAGATCCCTAAAACTTTCTAAAAATTCTAAAATTAATATAATATGTGTAAAAAATCTTAATATTYATAAAATCTATGATTTGTGATGGCTAGTAATATATGATAAAATAAATAATTAATTATTTCTTCCTCGCCAATAATTAGTTGTAAAACTTTGAACAAATTTAGATAATTTGACGACATTACTTAAATCATTATATCATCTAGCAGCAGCGAAGGAATCGAAAATGATCGTTGACCAGATTTTGAAGATATCTTCTGTAAATGAATGTCATTACGCCTTCTAGTATTGTAATTATGAAYCTCTGAATTACGATGAAATAAATTTCTTAGATATGAAGGATATAAACCATTCAAGCAGCGGAAAACTGTAAGACACTTATGACCCATCTCTCTGCTAAAGAAACCCAACCCAATTCTTTAAGTAAACTGGCTGAACTACAATCCCTAACCTTTCTCTTGACAATTATGCGTGCGCCACGTTTCTGAAGCCTCAAAAGACGACCTAGGCTAGTATCAGTGTTAGACCATGCAACATCATTATATTCATACAGAGGTTGAATTAGAGACTCATGAAGTTSTTTACAGGTGTCCACGTTGATAAATTTTCTAATTCTACCCAACAGACCGAATCTACGTGATGCCTTTGAAGCAATATAGTCAATATGTTCATACCAGTTCAATTTATCGTCCATTATTAGACCAAGATATTTAATAGAAACTTTTCGAGGTAGATCTCTATCACTCATCTTTATTTTAGGCTTGTGGGCTTTTTCCAGTCGCTGACTTGTGCCAAAGAGAATAACGTTAGTCTTTGAGTAGTTTATAGCCAGACCATTTCGGGAAAACCAGTTAACAACAGCATCGATTTCTTGTTGAAAACACTCTCTATTGTCTTGACATCTTTGTGGACTAAGAAAAGGGCGGTGTCATCAGCATACAGTGCTACTTTACTTTGTGTAACACAGCTAGGTAGGTCGTTGATAAAAATTATGAATAGCACAGGGCCTAATACCGACCCTTGTGGAACACCAGATTGCTAACTTTGTACTTCTGAAATGGAGCCATTTACACAAACAGTTTGAGTCCTTCCAGTAATTTATAACGCAGGATAAGAAGTTTCCCTATTTTTACTTTTTTATTTAATTTACGTAGAGCAATTCAGTATTTGTCAGCAAATTCCTCGTTGGCATAGTTGGTGAGTCACTAGACTATCACGCAAAGGGTCCCAGGTTCGAGACACGGTAAGTCCAAGGTAAAAAGAAAAGAAAAAGTTAATTACGTAAGTAGATAGTATATAGAAGCATAAGAAGTAAGTAATGGAGAGGAGAGAGGTAAAGAAATGAGGCAAATGGGTGTAAAGTGGATGAGAAATTCTTCTAGCTATTTTAAGACACCCACGACAAATATGTAGATTAAAAAATATTTCAGCACTAGTGATGAATGACCCGCGACGCATATAATGATTCTACTCTCTCATGCTTGGCCGGGTGAAAGACATTTCGAGAGAGTGATAGCTAATTGCTATATATTTGTTTAATCATGCAATGCAACCACGATTCCACTTCCAGTTTTTGAGAGCAGCAGTTGAATGAAATGTGCTCGTAATCGAGTAAATAAAACGTGCCATAATACTCGAATGTCTGGTGGTAAAGGCATTGTGCTAGAATCCTCTAATTAACACTGACTAAAATAGTTGTGCAACCTTTTGATCACTTTTAATAGTAGGTACCACGAGGTGATCAGCGACGCATAAGATGATTCTGCTCTCTCATGCTCTGCCGGGTGAAAGACTTTTCGATAGAGCAATGGTTGTATGTTAATTCGAACGTGTAGGAAATCTTGATAGATTTTGTATTCCCCTACTACCTTTTGGTGCTAAATGTACTGTGCTAGAATCCTCTAATCAACACTGACTAAAAATAGTTGTGCAACCTTTTGATCACTTATAATAGTAGGTACCACTAGGTGTTCAGCGACGCAGATGATGATTCTGCTCTCTCACGCTCTGCCGGGTGAAAGAGTTTTTGAGACAGTAATGATTGTATGATAAATCGAGCGTGCAGATAGATTGATAGATCTATTTCTAGAGTTACTGTAATGCATTACCACCGCAAATGGTATAAAACAAGGTGCTCGATCTCTAACAAGTGACTAGGACAAGTCAGTTTGGTGAAGTCAAACTTCCAGAGCAACATAAAATCCACCGTGTAGTCTTTCCRAAATTTTCCGTCATGTCCTGCAAGGATGAGTCATTCAACCCGGAGGTAATAGACCTTGGACACCTTCCTGAGAAGCCTACCGGTAAAATCCCACAGCAATATGCTATACCCGAAGAGATTCCAGCTGAAGCTAAAAGCGTGTTACTGTACGCTTTTGCTACAACTACTGACCAGTGCAGTTTCCATCGAGGTTTTTTTCAGATTTTCACCAAAGAAGGTGATATTACGTACGCGATGTATATGAACTTCGCGACTTCAACCGCTGCCACCATCACTTCTGCTAATGTATGGTTGCCAATCACGTCAGACAGGACAGTGTACGTCAATCTGTATTATCCACCTGACGTAAGTGTAGCACACAAAGTAAAGACTCCAGTGCCGAAAGGTCTCCAAGGGATGCAAGCTAAGTTGTGTGGTGAGGATTGGAGTAATCTGTTTATCACTGGCTGGAAGTAGGCACTCGTTGTGCGGCCCCTCCTGCTCTCAACCATTCTGAGACAAACTAGCTAGTAAATAACAAGGAACGTTGTTTTAAAGTAATACTCTTTTTGACTAAAAATAAGAGCAAGTTGCTAGCACTTTGGATGTGCCGCAGTGTAATTATGATGTACATTTTCAGCATGCAGAATGTACTGTTATAAGATAATGTGATAACTGTAATTCCTATTGAGACAAGCTCAGATTCCACAAATAAAACTGTTGAAGAGCAATAGGTTTGTTCAATTTGTTCATAAATTTGTTGCGCCAATACCAGACAGAGCGTCTTAATGAGATGGAAAAGGCCAGAAAACTAAATTAAWTAAGATACAGTATGCTGCCCACTGTTACTCTGTATCGTACCGGTACCAGTTTCGTGCGGTGAAAAAGAACACATTAGGCTCAAATTTCGCAACCAGCAATTTTTATTTTCGAAAATCGAATATTATTAAAAGAAAAAGAAAGCTGCGCATTACAGATTCCGAATGCATATTTTCAGACTTTTTGCTTTAATGCAAGGGTTGTCGACGAAGCACCATTATTGTCATTTGAGCGCGCAGTGAACTGAGTAGGACTTGACAATGGGGTCTCAAAATCTTGTAATTTGTAAGAAAAGTCTTAATTTTTTAATAAGTTATTTGTTCAGGTTCTCAGTAATGTGCCAATGAACAAATTCCTTATTTCGCGAATGTCATGTCTAAGTTCTGAAAAAGGTGATTGTAGGTTTTGTATCGCGCTTGGTCATTAAATAGAATAATTGTTTATTTTTTGTCAAAGTCAAACTTCTTTGTCGGGCACGATAATAATCGCCATAATTTTTTTACCACTTTAACCTACTGAAGTGCAGTTTTCAATTCCTATATTGAATATGAAAGCTTTAAGGAAACATATTTGTTATTCTTAATTTTGGCGCCAAAATCAATCAATAGAAACACAAATTTAATTAAATTTTGCTTGTTGTGATTTGTCGCAGACAAATTTTGAACGGTACCTGATGTATGGTTCTTAAGGTGGCTGTCTACTTTTGAACGTTMGATTTGGGCCCACGATGTGCGCGGGCTCAAAAAACTGCTRAAAAATCTACAAGATTTTATTGAAGAAACATACGCGTTTTGAGCTTCAACAGGGCAAAACCCTCACATTTTGCACGGGACTCTATATTTTTGATAGCTCAATCGAAAAAACTCCTAAAAATATAGGTTATATATCAACATTTTAGGAAACGTTTAGATCAGGAACATATGAAAAAAATCAATGTATCTCTTTGTCTTTTTGTCGAAATATCCATGTATTATTGTAGAATGATTGACTAGCCTTCATTCGTGCAATCACATAGTCTGCAAATAACTATTATCTTATTAATCTTAATTTTTTTCTAATCACTTCCGGTGGCGCAATTTTTACTCCAAAAGCTCGTGCGTAGGCTTCCATTAAATGCTGATTATCTCGAAAACGMGCTCGGGACACCCTATTTTTCTTTCCAGATTAGGAAGCAGCATTAAATTTCAATTCGGAAAGTTTTAAAAAAAGCTTAAATCAATTTCCAAAAGTAGGCAGTTATCTTAAGTTATTCAAAAGCGGGAGTAAAATATCCTCTTTTTGACCTTTGTGAACGGTTCGAGCCTACGCCACTTGACCAAAAGGGATTGTGGATAGAAATCACTGAAGCCGTTGACTGCATATTTCTTTCTGAGTAGAATTCTTCTCAACAACTTCAATTCTTCTTACAACACTACTTTGATAAGTAAAACATAGGTCCTTTCAATCTACCGTCAATAATATATCAGTAATGTAGCGACAAGGATTGATAACTGTCGCAACGGCTCAGTGATAGATGAAACTACACGGGTTCCCTGTATCATATGCCCGCAACTGTTGTATGCCGTAATGCCTTGGGTAAATTATTCCACTTTGTTGAGGATTAAAAGAAAACGTATTTTTATACTGGTTTTCAACAGGCAACCCAGTTATAAACTCAAGAATCCCTATCTTCAGGGGCGTAGCAAGCCTTAAAATACCAGGGGGCACGACGTCGCAACACTTGATCACAAAAAATGAATATTTTATTCCATAGATATTACTTTTTAATGGTATTGCATACTCACTGGTAGTCTTATTAAACATCTTATCAACAATATCATGTAGTGTAAATTAGTATGGTAGTGGTCCAGCTAAAAGCAACAAGTGGCAGGTTTTGTATAGCTGCCACAGAAAGCATTGCATTTGATACGGGCAGTTTTGGATTTTCTAGGGTTCTCTATATCATAATCACAATATGATATGCTGTCATACATAAGCTGCCACCTTTAAAATGGCTCAAATGAAAAATAGCCTCCCTCTCCTTTCTTTCCTCGCTTCCATCGTCCCTCCATTCGTAGCTATATATAGCCCCTCACTTTTAGCTCTTAAGGAGGCTCGAAACGGTTTTTCTTGAGCGCGCGTGCGCTTTAGGTACGATGACGTAGAACTTGCAAAAGGAAAATTTTGGTAGTCATAAATTTTAATGTTCAAACTGAAAAACTCAAAAATTCTGCTGTGAAATTTCTTCGAATTTTGCAGAGGGTTTTAGTTTATGCTTTCAAAAACTTAAGGAAAATTTTTAAAAATTATGTAAAAGGGAACTATTCCAAACAAATTTTATTGATTTTTACRAATTCCCTTTTACAGAATTTTTTCTTTTTTTGTCAAAAAGAAGATTACGATACAAAGTGGAAACATTCCGGTTTTTAAAAAATTTTACCATTTGGTTCCTGAGTTATGATTTTTTAAATAAACATTTTTGATGGCATACCAAGGGTTCTGATGTTGTCATGGCAACGTCTAACGTCATTTTTTCATGTTCATTGTGATCTTTGGCTTATAGTCTTTGGCTTACCTGGTTTACTTGCTRTTATATTATGGTCATATTAATTTTTTTTAGTTCATAATGTGAAGGCACAAAACACTTTCCAGCCTCCTTAATTTAGCTTGCTGTTTTACAAATGCGAATCGAGACAATTAAACGTGCAAAATTGCGAGTGGCCTACAGAAGAATCTATAGTTTGAGGTTGCGTTTACACTCTTCCGTACAAAATTTTAGCCGAAAAATTTTAAAAATTGACCAGGAGATAATATTTGCGCGGTATGCAAATTTGCCGTTCTAAGGTTGAAGAAAAAACTGTCAAGTCGCCATTCAATGCAGTATTAATACTAGAAGTGAAATGGCTTAATAAAAAAAGGGGGATTCCTCGACTTTATTTAGGCGTCAGATTGCGTGGAAGATAATGACCTTTTTGTGGTAAAAAAGAATGTTAAAAAGAAGCCCTATTTTACTGAAAAATTAATAAATCGTCCCCAGTTTTTATAGAACTCTAGAAAATGACCCACGATTTGCTTGGCCGGATTTTTGCTTTAATTTTGAAAATAGAAGAAACTGTTATTTGGCTACAAATGTGGACATATAGCATATGGCACAAAATGTGTAATTTCAATTCAATCGTCAGATTTTCCTGATTTTTCCTGTTAAGTTAGATATCACAATGTGGTTTCAAAAACGAATTAAGGTGACTGGAAATTGGTTTAAACTTTTTTTAAAACTTCGATTTTCCGAATTAAAATTTAATGCTGATTCCAAATCTGGGAAGACAATTGGGTGTCCCGACCTTGTTTTCGGGATAATCAGCATTTAATGGAAGCCTACGCACGAGATTTTGGAGTAAAAATTGCGCCACCGGAAGTGATTAGAAAAAAATTAAGATTAATAAGATAATAGTTATTTGCAAACTATATGGCTGCACGAATGAAGGCTAGTCAATCATTCTACAATAATACATGGATATTTCGACAAAAAGACAAAGAGATACTTTGATTTGTCATATTTTGTAGTTTCGGTGCTCTTAAAAAATCCGTCATAAACTCGAACAAAAATCCCTACAAAAATCTATTTTTTCATGTGTTACTGATTTAAACATTTCCTAAATGTTGATATAACATAGATTTTTAGGAGTTTTTTCGAATGAGCTATTAAAAAATAGAGTCCCGTGAAAAATTTGAGGGTTTTGCCCTGTATGGTTCTTCAATAAAATCTTGTAGATTTTTCAGCGGTTTTTGAGCGCTCGCACATCGTGGACTCAAAACGAACGTTCAAAAGTAGGCAGCCACCTTACACGAGGATGTCCCGAATTTGTTCAGAGCTATGAAAAAGTGAAAAGCTCGTTTTCTTGACATTTTGCCTAATGTCAATGCGCGCGCCGTTTGAGCGCAGGAGGCAAAACTTTTCTCTCCGTAAACACAGGGAGCCCGATTTAAATAAAAGTGAATGGTAAAAATATAATCGGGAAAAAAAATCACATWAAAAAAAAATACGAGTTCAAGATAATGTCCTATGTAATACGAGAAAGTATAAAAATCGATAAAAAATGACCTAAAACATTTTTTTTCGCGCGCTACTTTGTTTAATTCCTATATAAATTCCCGATGGTATCTAGCTTATAAATAATGTTTGTTATATACCAAGGTATATCTGGTGCCGCGCAGTTTGCAATACAAGTCGAGGAGTCGTACTTCAAAATTATTGTATCGAGCCACCTTAAGCATAAACGTTGTCGTCCTCTCGACCATCCAATATATCTGTTGTTCTTCCTTCTCGAGTCAGGCACGCTCTCTTTTCCTTGACAAACTAGACTCTGTTAAGGCGGAGCTCTTCCCTTCTCGACGGTTCTGAATAAATTTTAGGTTTTCTCCTATGATTGACTGCGAACGAGTGACCATCCTCTGCCCCGAAGACTCCGGTAAAGCCAGTACGAGTAGATAAAGACAGAAAATGCCATTTTCCCCCTATTGATTTGTAATCTCACATTAAATTGTATTAAACTCAATTGTTAAATATTTTACTTCCAAGTTTGGTTGTTTTGTTCGTGAAACATTGAATATAGTAGCAACACAAGAAGTGAATCATACAGCAAACAAAAGTCTTTAGCACAGTTACCGGCATTCTATAGATAGCAAAAGTTAAGAAGAAGTGAAAGGGCCATAGAGGCCCCTTTGTTTAAAGGGTGGAAATTGGCCTTGATTTGTACAAGCGGGCTTTGCGGTGCGTGACTACCACCGCCTGAATCAAAAGGCAGGGAATATTGGAGTGTTTCAGAGCGCAATTACCTCTTCGAGCATGCGCAGTAAGAAAGGCCTTTGATTACAAGATTGAAAGCAATGCTGTCCAACCACGAGCCTGAGTTCTTCGATGCTGACCATGACTGAGGAAGACCCGCTCTAGAGTGCCGTTATTATTGTTAGTTTTAATATCATTAATAATTTTCATGTCATTATATTCTTTTCACTTCTAATCCTGAAGGTTACCTAAATTTAGATCGTCTGTATTTCGAAATTCATGTAGCTGGCGCGTATCGTTGTGTGTTGTTATGGATACAGCTTTGCAAAGCCAAAGGTTTACTAAAAAAAAACAAGGGGGAGGTTTGAAAGAAAAGCGGTTTCGATCGCGCACGTGATTTGCTGACGTAATTTATTGGTATATATTTCCCCTACTCAAGATCAATCTGAATGAGAGAAAATTCACAGCTGTAGTGAAATCCATATTGACTGGAACTTTGGTTGTAAGCATTTAGAACTAAAACATATGACTAGCAAGGCAATGATGAAACTCGTATTAATCTAAAAATAATTCCGCCGTCATAATGAAGCTGTTTACAAAGTAGTCCCTTAGTCCACGTGGACTGAAATTAAATCTTCAACGACTAGTCTAGTCTAGAAAAATGGACCATCAATAGTTGTAACCTAAAGAAATAATAGCTTTATTATTCCTTCGTTTTCTCGTTGTTGCTTTAGTTTTGGTTACCTCAATATCATTGAACCCTGAAACATCATCTCTAAGTTGATCCACTGCGATAAAAATATGCTATTTTTATATAACATTTGACTAGTCTACTGTTAAATTTCAATTGAAAGATAAGTTTATTCATAGTTAGTTAAGGCTCTGAAACGTTGCAGAACTACATGTACTCGAGATATTACTTTAAATTTTTCCCAAACTATAAAACATTTCGTTTTCTATTATTTTCTTTTGACTTTCGTGTAGCGTTTAGCTTCAATTTGACATCAAAGAAAACGATTAACAAAATAACAAACTCGCACTATACCGTGTGGTACCAGGCTATACGTGTCGGCGGCAAAACTAGATAGAGCGGTTTTCGTATAAGTGCCCGGGAAACGATACTACAATATGATTTCGTAACCCTACTGTTGTATACTGGAAACCAATGGAAAGCCATTTCAATTTTATGGCATGTATACATGCAGTAAGTCAGTACCGTGTTTTCCACTCATACGAAAACTCAGTGGTTCTTCTACGAAAAAAAACAACAAAACAAACAAAACATAACAATTATCCCACAATGTTTTGGTCATAAATCCATAAATTCCATAGATTCATAAAATCGTCTCTCCTTGAAATAAAACAGAACCGGTCAAAAAAAAATGAAATGAATTAAAAAACCCCAGGCTTTCCTGAACATGTTGGTATATAGTTCATAGGATTTTGTTAAAATTTAGAACCGTATTTTTGGTGATTTTATAAGCTCATACTATCTGTTGGCCTATACATTCGCCTCTTATGGTTTCTTAGTTTTTGTAGCCTCGAAAACACGCTAACTACTAGTTAGCGAAAGAACAAAAGATGTACGGTTCATTTAGGATGTTTTGTCACGCAGTTTACTTGTGCTATATAACTTTACTTTTAAGAACAGCCTTTTGCTTTGAAAAGAGAGAAAAAAGACCGAAAAGATCAAATATTCCAAATGTATGAGCAATTTTTTCCAATGAATACTAACTGAATAATTAAAGGGTAAATATAGCATCCACCCTTGTTGAATAATTTCAGTATTTTTTTTTTTTTTCGTTGACTTGTTTTTATAGCTCAACTAGTATAATCATAATATAATCTATAGTATAATCATAATATATGTAATCATAATGCTGTTCTCGTAAACGTTGTTATACTTGTCCTCACATAGCCTCTCACACTTCTGTTGTCGGTCCTAAATCTACTATTAAAATCACTGACCATTTTGTTTGTACCACTTCTAATGTTGTATATTGTATTAAATGTACCCGCTGTAATCTTTTGTATGTGGGCGAGACTGGCCGCCGTCTTGGTGNTCTTTCTCTTTTACTCCGACGAAGGACTAGCGTCCGAAACGTCAGTAAGTTTTTTCATCTTTTCACGGTGTATAATTTACCTTTTCATCATTACTAATCATAATATCGGGAGGGGGATAGGGGCGAGGTCTATATTGTCGTTAAAATTGGCCCTTCAAATCTCTTTGGAGTCTTGACAAGGACCGCTCAATTTATAATAGATTATATTTGAACATTCTTTTTCACACTATTCTTTAATTGGTTAACATGCAATATAAATAATACTTTACAATATATAATAAACAAAACATTAAAAAWATATATAAATGATTTAAACACTCCCACAAACACACCCTAACAGATCTACATAAACACCTGACAAAACCCTACTGTTCCCCACCCYCAAAGACCTTGGCTAAATTATCACAGTACAAATAGACGAGCCAAGCCATGATTTTCATTCCTGAAACCCATCTTAAAGACTGGTAAGAAGTACTGAAACAAGACAGTCTACTGCCTCAAAGAAGATTCTAAGAATTAAGAAGGTAATTTACTTCATCTTCTTATCTTAGTCAGTTCAAGAAAAGAAAACATCGATCATTTTTCGATGTGAAAAACCCATGTCTTCAAAGTTGTGCTAATACATTTTCAGCTAAAATTGCCCGACATGGTACGTTGAATTTATATTTTTGAATTTTTCTTTGACAGATAACAACTCGGTGTGTAACAAACGAAATGGAGAAAACTGTCTTCCTGGCTGTGTTGGTGCTTTGTGTTACTCTTGTCTTTGCGGCCAAAGAAGGTACTGAATATAATAACTAAAATGTTTTTGAAAGGCTTTTGTAGAAAAAGATGGGTTTGCGTTCACAAACCGTTTTGAATGAAGACGAAATTCCGAGTACTTAACGAATAGACAGCAGTTTTCATGTGTCTGTCCTCTTATTGACGATAGATTGCGTCATCAGAGTGTCAAAGTAGTGTGGATCAACGAGGCGTAGCCGTGGATCCGCATACTACTTTGACAATGTGATGACGAAATTTATCGTCAATAAGAGGACCGACACATACAAAACTGATCTCTATTTGTTTTTACCATAACAAAAACGATAAAAACTTCTCATTTTTCAGTAGCGCCGGATCAAAATAACCAACGGAAAGAGCGCGCGCTCGTTAACGTCAGCTTTATCTGTCTGTCCTCTCATTGATGATTAAAAATAACCAATCAGCGCGCGATGAATTTGTAAGTTATGGTAAACATTAGAATTGAAAGGTAAACTAGGTAAATATTGCTCATTTATCACAAGTGAGTAGAATTTTTTAACTCTCTTCCTTGATTAGAAGGCTTTCCTTTCGTAGAACTCAATTTGCTCAGTTCAAATTCGATCTATAACTGTTAGTTGTGTCCTTGCCTTGATCAGCCCAGAGATTGTTTCAGGGTATCGATAAAACATGAAAAATAATCTGCCGTTTCTAAACAAATTCAGTACTAATATTCCGGTTCCCTTTGTTAATTGTTTGATATTTTTTTACGTTTTATAGAAGTACATTTGAAACTCCGAGCCATGAAATGTGATTGTTATGATGGTGGACCGTATGGCGACTGGTGGTTTTGGCGAAAAAACTGCCCAACTAAAGGATATCACTACACTAATTCGTGCTCGAGTAAGGGTAGTGTCTGTTGCTTTCCGGGTGGACAATGAACCATGCAGAAGTTCTAAAAAAAATGCCTGAATCTACTAAGACTCAAAAATGTCAAATTGATGTGTAGTCTACAATAACCTGTTATCTATAGCAATAAATATAGTACACTTATTTTGGTCATCAAGCTTACTTGCTTGCTTGCTTGCAAACGCGACAAATTAATTCCCCTACTCCATACTAGATAAATGTGTATTACTCAATTAATTGTGTGACAATAAAGGTGTATAACCGGCTAAAATCACTCGACTTATTTCTTCAAGCCTTATATTTCATTCGATTATCTCTTGAAATACTTTTGAAAAAGGTTGAGAAAGGAAGTGCATGTTAATATATTGAATATTTCAACTTGGTTAGAATCACTTCTCTGTCGCTCGCAATGATCTAGATTGATTTAGATATTTACAGCTCGCCAAATGATTTGTGAAATTAACAAATTTGAGGGGGGAAAAGAACTTTGGAAAGCCATTGAAAGATATTATTAATTTACATTGACAAGAAAATGTATTTCAATAAAAACACCACTAAAAATATCAGTTATCTTTTAGAAAGGGCGTCGCTGTATGATTTTTAATCCCCATGAGATACCTTAAAAGACACCAAGAAATGACGAAATTCTAATTTGAATTTTTGACACCCAAAACGAATACAAAATCGTAGATTCTTACCCATATGAGATACGATGAGCATTCCCTATAGTTTTACCCCAGAGCTCTTCAGGACCTAACCCAAGAAACCTTTGCTGGCTTCTGCTGTAGGATTCCAGTTTACAGGCAGACAGTTTATATGTGCCAGCTGTCAATCAATGTCACTATATTGTCAAGTGATTATTAGAGGGCGGAGCTAACATATCACGTGATAGAAATTAATGTCAGCCAATTAAAGACAGCCAAACTAGAAATATTAATTTACCATCGTAAGCAAGGAATCTTAAGCAAGATGTTAATGACTACGAAGCGAGGATTTCTAAAAATAATGAAACTTCATGGGCAACAGATCATTTCGTTTAACTATTCATGCTTTTATTTATTTATTGAAAGCAGTATTTTCTGTAATCGAAGATCGGTTCTAAGAGATAAACTAGTGGTGTTAATGTGCACCTACACACTATTTTTTCCGTTCTGGGGTAAAACTTTAAGTCACAATAAAAGCTCTCTGAAAAATTTTTTTAGATCCATCAAAACGGGAGATTTTGGTGTTTTGTCAAAGATTGGAATATAGACCATTTTAGCCGAAGTAAGTGGACCATGGCCGTAATTACAGAGGAGACTGGGTCGAGCAACGTGTGACTTCGGCCACAGGTTAACACAACCACGGATTACCACAGATTCTATATCAGAGCTCATCTTCACGAATTTTTCTTCAACAAGCTCGTCTGTCTCTCAAAAGTAATTGATTTGTTTACTAACTTTCCGGCACCAAGCAAAGAGTCATGGCCTGCGGTGACGTCACACTCGAACCCAGACTCCCGCTTTGATTCTGACCCACACATTTCGTATTTTTAAAACAATTTATCGCATTCAAAATTTTTTTTTTTTTTCAAATGTGACCAAAATAACACAAAACATTTTAAAATGTTCAGTACAAACAGTTAAGAATGTAAAACATAGGGTGTAGGTGCACTTTAAAGAACTACGTGCCTGATCAATGGCTTCGACTTTTAAATTATTTTRCAAGCTGCCGACCCGATTCTGATCACTTTCTATTTAAAAAAATCAACTTTACACAATGATTTGTTCAAGAAAATAACCGACAAAAGAAGAACTTAATGCCAGTCAATACTAAGACTAAATCCAAGTTGACAAATGTACATGTATATCCATGTTTTTTGTTAAAGTGCTAACATTTGAAAATGTTTTCCATGTTTTCCATTTGCTTACAAGTTGCTCTACTACAATATGAAAAAAAAATCTGCTTTGGTGAACAACGCCATCTTTGTTTTTTTGTTTTTGTTTTTTGTTTTTTGTTTTTTTTTGTTTTGTTTTTTGTTTGGAAAATTGGCTTTAGCAAAGGAAGCCCGCGCGCAGATAAACGAATAGCACACGAATGTGCAAACGAAATCTATAGCTGCTGCTACATAACAGCATTTTGACGTTTCGAAGCTGTTCCACCCGCCAGGCAACACAGTATACCCTCTTAGAGCAACTTATTGAGAATAAATCGAATGCTAAATGCGTGACAAGTGTAACTCGGCTTTACGAAATAGCGTGACCAACTCTGGATATTTATTTACGTTTTTTTGTGCATTTGCAAAAATCAATCGTGAAACGGAATTATGCGTAGTAGTATAGGGAATGGGGGTTCCAGCGCAATCTCAACACGGGGCAAGACCCGTGTCAAAAATCCACCTACGGACGACCCCCACTCCAAGTGTGGTTGAGGGCAACAGCGCACTTAAATATGTTAGTCTATATATGGAGTGCGAAGAATGTAAGAAGTTC